AGAACTCCCAGAACCCCATCAACCAGGTATATGTGGGCCTGCGGGTCGCTCCAAGCAACAGCCTGGTGGACCAAACTCTCACAAGTCGAGCCTGGCCTCGGGCCGAGCTTGGGGAGTAGAAGAACTCCCAGAACCCCATCAACCAGGTATATGTGGACCTGAGGGCCGCTCCAAGCAACAGCCTGGTGGACCAAACTCTCACAAGTCGAGCCTGGCCTCGGGCCGGGCTTGGGGAGTAGAACAACTCCCAGGACCCCATCAACCAGGTATCAACCAGGTAAATAAGCCAACAGGCAGGTTCACACGCTTGCGGCAAGGCATATATGACTCAATAAACTCATCGTCTGATGAAATAATAGAAGACAGACTAACGGTGTTGCATCAGCTGTAATGGATAAGTCGACCCACAGATCCTGACGCATATGTGTTTACCCGGCGTCGGTGACGTCGTTCTGACGGCGCCGTACCAATTAGGTCATTGAACCAATTACCATAATAATATTTACAAAAAAAATCCTGAAAACGGTTGGGTGTTAAATAAGACCTACTTCAGCCGCACTAGTGTTCCTTCCAAGTGAATGTAGATATTCACAAAAACAGACATATGTGCTGACATGCATACCGCGTATGCCAGAGAGATCATGTAACAGATATAACGCATACGCGTTATAACGGGCAGAGAGCAAGCACGAACACATGACGCATGCGGCCAGGCTGAAGGTACCAGGCATGGGCACCTCGGCAAAGAAAGCTTGTCGAAAGCAAGAAAGGAAGCAAGCGAACAAGTAAGCATCCAAGCAAGAGATAAAGCAATCCAAGCAAGCAAGCGCCGCTGCACCGAGGAGAGCGTAGTATGAAAGATTATCTACTATATATAGCTAAGTGTGTATCTGTCTGGCCGTGCTGGGGGGGGGGATAATCAGACCTCTGGAGATGGCACTGTTTGGAGGAATCTCTTGTTGGCACTGTATACAAGGCTTCGGCATAACATAATATTATTATAAGCAAGGATTGGGTTACAAGCAAGATTCTAATTAATGAATCAGATTCTCTTATAAGTAACCTTTTCTAATAATAATAATAATAATAATAATTAATTTTGTTCGAATATATATATATATATATATATATATATATATATATATATATATATATATATATATATATATATATATATATATGTTGTACCTAGTAGCCAGAACGTCGTACTCAGCCTGCTATGCAAGGCCCGATTTGCCTAATAAGCCAAGTTTTCCTAAATTATATATTTTCTCAAATTTTTTCTTATGAAATGATAAAGCTACCCATTTCATTATATGAGGTCAATTTTTTTATTGGAGTTAAAATTATAGATATATGACCGAACCTAACCTCTACCTAACCTAACCTATCTTTATAGGTTAGGTTAGGTTATGTTAGGTAGCCGAAAAAGAGGTTAGGTTAGGTAGGTTAGGTAGTCGAAAAAACAATTAATTCATGAAAACTTGGCTATTAGGCAAATCGGGCCTTGCATAGTAGGCTGAGAAGTGCGTTCTGGCTACTAATACGCCATATATATATTATATATATATATATATATATATATATATATATATATATATATATATATATATATATATATATATATATATATGTCGACTACCAGAACCACTACCTAACCAAGGCCCGATTTGCCTAACCTAAATTTTTTTCGGCTACCTAACCTACCTAACCTAACCTAACCTATAAAGATAGGTTAAAGTTAGGTTAGGTTAGGTTTGGTTAGGTTCGGTTCAAATATCTACGTTAATTTTAACTCCAATAAAGAAAAATTGACCTCATACATAATGAAAAGGGTAGATTTATCATTTCATAAGAAAAAAATTAGAGAATATATATTAATTCAGGAAAACTTGGCTTATTAGGCAATCGGGCCTTGAATAGTAGGCCAAAAAGTGCGTTCTGGCTACTAGGTACGACATATATATATATATAATTTAACATGTAAAAACCCAGCCCGTCCTCCAAAAATGGGGTGGTAAATGTAAGGAGACAAATAAGTGCAATTATGTACTATTCATATCAGTTAGGAATTGTACTTATTTTCACTTAGTATTAAATCGTACTGTCAAATATATTGTGAATATTTGAGTTTACCCAAAAAAACTGAATAGAAAACCACAACCTCACCTAACCGTCTTAGTTTTTGAAGATAATAATTTTATTTCTTCTTAATTACAATTAGTACTTAATCTATAGCTATATTGATATTACAGTTTTATAAAACTAATAAAACAAAACTAAAATATATCAATAAATTGTAAAATAACTCAGGATATTTTAAAATTTTGTATAAAATCTATATTGTTTAATAAACCAGAAAAAAAATTCTTGATATTTAAAACTTGTGTATTGCAAGTTGAAATTGAAATTTCATCCTAAAATTGTGTGTGTCTTAACAGAAACGAGGGGAATTAAATCGGGGGAGGGAGTTGGGTAAATGTAACAGCCCCGTAAGTGCAATTATGCACTGGTTATGACAGTTAGAAAGTGTACTTATTACACTTAGTATTAAATCGTACTGTCAATTCGGAGGATGGGTTGAAAAACCAGGTGGTGTTGGCACCTTTGTACAGCCAGCGAGAGAAATGCTAATTTATGGATTTATTCCCGTGTATAAATAGAGTGAGTGATGCGCTGTATAAATGGTTACCACGCGGCAAGGCAAACATTGTATTCCCCTTATTTGGTTTCTGAAATCCAGATATTTATAGCCTAACGCATCTATAGCCATAGTAGAGAAAGTCTGTCTGTCTGATCTGTTTGTCCGTTGAAGATTGGAGGCCGGACGCTTGGGGGTAGCCTCACTCAACATTTCAAGATGATGCATGGATGGTGTGGGTGTGTCATAGGCCACTTGAGGTCGGCCCTAGTGCCGCTGTTTAAGAAATATCAGTTATTTTTGTTATGAAGCCTGAAATCGGGGATTACATTTTCTCAGAAAGAGAGAGAGAGAGAGACAGAGAGAGAGGAGAAGGGGAGGGAAGGAGAGAACAGAGGAGAAAGATGAAGAGCAATGGATAGGAGGAATTTGGAAAGAGGTTAGAGGAGGAGAGAGAGAGAGAGAGAGAGAGAGAGAGAGAGAGAGAGAGAGAGAGAGAGAGAGAGAGAGAGAGAGAGAGAGAGATTGGAAGAGAGGGTAGGAGAAAGGAGAGGGGTGAGAGACGGGTAGAGATTTTGGAGAGAGGGTTTCCTTGCCTTGATTCTATTGATGTCCTGGTCATCCAGACTGTTGGACGCGGCTGCTCACCCCATAACCATATAAATCACAGCTTGGTTGATCAGGTATCCCTTAGAGGTGTTTATAAAATATAGCCTGTTGGACCAAGTTAATCCAAGTCGAGCCTGGCCCTCATCGGGGAGGAGAAGAACTCCCGAGATCCTCTCCAGGTAAGATCCAGGTAAGATAAAGTTCTCTTTTGAACACTGTGAGAGGTCGGCCAGTTATGCCACTTAAGTTTAGAGGGAGAGTGTTGAAAGTCTTGGGCTTCTAATGTTGATACCTGGTTGATGGGGTTCTGGGAGTTGTTCTACTCCCCAAGCCCGGCATGAGGCCAGGCTCGACTTGTGAGTTTGGTCCACCAGGCTGTTGCTTGGAGCGGACCGCAGGCCCACATACCCACCACAGCCCGGCTGATCCGCAACTTCTCTTAGAAAACAGTCCAGTTTTCTCTTGAAGATTTCCACGGTTGTTCCGGCAATATTTCTTATAGTCGCTGGGAGGACGTTGAACAACCGCGGACCTCTGATGTTTATACAGTGATAAAAGTCTTATTGATCGTATCTATCGCATCTTTGCTTTTCAACGGGGCTACTTTGCACATCCTACCATGCCTCCTCCTCCTCTCATGTGGTATTATTTCCGTGTGCAGATTCGTAAACAGTCGTAATATTTTCCCTGTAAATTATTATGCATCTCTCCGGCCTACGCTTTAGGGAAAACGGATCTTTTATTTTTAAGCGGATTCGGGCAGTAAGAGATGTTTGCACGTTCTCCAATTTCTCCAGCTCTGGTCGGGGCTGTTATTGTGCAACAATGTTCCACCCTAGAGAGCAGTAGTGGGAGGGGGGCGGGGAGAGAGAGACACGGACGCCGCCGGGTTCCCCCATCTAGGCCTATATAACCTGTACATATAGCTACTGTGGATGGGCTATATATAGAGTGTACAAAATATATACACTTTTTGAACGAAAAATTTAGCTTCTTTAATCTAATTTAAACATTTAATCTTGGAAACCTCAAAGACACGAGAGAAGTGGAACACTGTTACCAAAGCTGCAGTCTAAGTTGTCCTCGACCTAACTAATCAATCTGAGGCCCATTTTAGTTCGGAGCATGAGGAACTAGACCTAACATTACCCGGAGTACGTGATAGGTAAGACCACAATGGAGGCAGGCAGGCAGGCAGGCAGGCAGGCAGGCAGGCAGGCAGGCAGGCAGGCAGGCAGGCAGGCAGGCAGGCAGGCAGGCAGGCAGGCAGGCAGGCAGGCAGGCAGGCAGGCAGGCAGGCAGGCAGACAGACAGACAGACAGACAGACAGACAGACAGACAGTCAGCCAGACAGACAGACAGACAGACAGACAGACAGACAGACAGACAGACAGGCAGGCAGGCAGGCAGGCAGGCAGGCAGGCAGGCAGGCAGACAGACAGACAGACAGACAGACAGACAGTCAGACAGACAGACAGACAGACAGACAGACAGACAGACAGACAGACAGACAGGCAGACAGGCAGACACATAACTGAACACTTCACTTACAGGAGGTAAATGTGTCCTCGTGTTTGGTATTAATTTAAGGTGAAGGTGTTTGTGTAGAGGGCGGCGGTGAGTGGTGGTGGAGCCTGCTGGTGTGTGAATACCTGCCTCATTACCCTAAGTGTTGGAGGGAGGGAGTGACGGCACACAGTCCGGCTTGTTAATGGCCTGTAATGGCAGATCAAGAAGTTTGTTGAGAGGGTCATGGAGTAAGGGGCGGGAGGAAGAGAAGTGCATGAAAGGGAGATATACACAATGTGGTGGAAAATGAGGCGCGGAAGAAAGGCTGGTGTAGAGAAATAAGGGAATTGAAAAAGTATATGTGTATGCAGGCGAGGAGTCACAATAACGTGGCTGAAGTATGTGTACCAGACCACATACTAGAAGGTGAAGGGACGACGACGTTTCGGTCCGTCCTAGACCATTCTCAAGTCAATTGTGATGATGGAATTGATAAAGATTAAGCCACCCAAGAGGTGGCACGGGCATGAATAGCCCGTAATGATGGTGGAAGGAGAAGAAGGCAATAAATAGGCAGAAGAGTGGTGAGGAGAAGAAAATCTTACAGGTAGGGAGGTTAAGGTGTAATAAAGAGGAAAGTAAGAACTGCAGAAGGCCCATTGGCCCATATGAGGCAGCTTGTATTTATACCACCCACAACGAAGGGGATAGTAGAAGGAATAAGAAGGGGAAATAGTAGGAATAAGCAAGAGATCGTAAGAGAAAATAATGGAAAGAAAAAGGAACGAGAAAAAATGAAAGTGTAAGCTTATGTTAGGTCACGTTTGTTAGAAAGTTTTGAGCATTTAAGTATATACTGTGAAAGGGAAGAGTCCACAGCAACAGAGCCACGACTAAAGTTCATGTTGGGTAGGTTGTGTATTAGAGCCGACGAGACGGCGTCTGTGTAGAGTAGAGGCAGGAAAGATTATTTTAGAGGAAGACCAATTTGGTCTTTGGTCTTGCGGTGTCCCAGCAATGTCCGGTAAGAAAGGTGAAAATAAAAAGTTCACGGACAAGGCCAAACAAAGCCAGAACACGGTATTTTTAGGCTTTTTAGTTGGTAACTTGACATGGTAACTAGGCTTTTTAGTTGGTAACTTGACATGGTAACTAGGCTTTTTAGTTGGTAACTTGACATGGTAACTAGGCTTTTTAGTTGGTAACTTGACATGGTAACTAGGCTTTTTAGTTGGTAACTTGACATGGTAACTAGACTTTTTAGTTGGTAACTTGACATGGTAACTAGGCTTTTTAGTTGATAACTTGACATGGTAACTAGGCTTTTTAGTTGGTAACTTGACATGGTAACTAGACTTTTTAGTTGGTAACTTGACATGGTAACTAGGCTTTTTAGTTGGTAACTTGACATGGTAACTAGACTTTTTAGTTGGTAACTTGACATGGTAACTAGGCTTTTTAGTTGGTAACTTGACATGGTAACTAGGCTTTTTAGTTGATAACTTGACATGGTAACTAGGCTTTTTAGTTGCTAACTTGATCGACATGGTTGTTGTTATTACCTGCATGCATACCCACGTATCAGTTACAACCTGGCTGGTGCAGCACTTCCTATAGGACCGTGTCTGGTTAATTGGCTGGCTGGCTAATTGCCTGGTTGGTAGTGTGCATAATGGACTGTCAGACGACTCTACGGTTGGGTGGATGACAGGGCTGTCTTGTGGCGTGGCGCCCGGGGTTGGCACTCAGCCTGGCACCGTCGCCGTCGTGTCTGGCACCGTCGCTGCTGTGTCTGGCACCGTCGCCGCTGTGTCTGGCACCGTCGCCGCTGTGTCTGGCACCGTCGCCGTCGTGTCTGGCACCGTCGCTGCTGTGTCTGGCACCGTCGCCACTGTGTCTGGCACCGTCGCCGTCGTGTCTGGCACCGTCGCCGCTGTGTCTGGCACCGTCGCTGCTGTGTCTGGCACCGTCGCCGCTGTGTCTGGCACCGTCGCCGCTGTGTCTGGCACCGTCGCTGCTGTGTCTGGCACCGTCGCCACTGTGTCTGGCACCGTCGCCGCTGTGTGGGGCGCCAAACACGCCCATCCCAGCGAACTCTTCCATTCCGGCCTGCTACTCATCCATTTTCCTCCCCCAGAGTCCCTCACTTCCATCTGCTAACTCGTCCACCTTCATTATTGTTTTATGTCTCTACTCCTTCTCCCTCTCCTTTATCTCATGCCTTTCCTCTCCCTTCCTACTTCTCTATTCCTTCTCCCCCCCCTACCTCCAACACTTATTACAATTACAGCTTCAAGACTCGCTTTTGCCCTATTTCAGACTTGACAGACCTTGGGCCAAAGTTTTACCGAATGAAACCCGAGTAGAAACAGATGCGTGGGTGAGTGAATGTGTGCCTGGGTGATGGCCTTCAGCTCTTGGACCCCAGACCGGGTCTTAGCGTTAGGTCTTCTGAGACAACGCCTCCCACAGCTCCGACCACAGAGATGCAGTACACCTGTAGATAATTATCAGGAGAATGCCTCTACGACTATATAGCACTTGGAAGAGATATGAGGAAAGAGGGAAGGAATGGTGCCCAACAGCTTGCGCCACTAGAGATTAAACTCCGACTTGCAAGAAGCGAGTCTTAAGTGGTTAGGTTACACTTGCATATACGTTTCTGTTTGCGGCCACACTACATCTGTCCATGCAAATATTTAGTTTCGTACACTTTGTTACCTGTGGAGGATTTCGATAGTTCTCTTACTCCCGCAGCCTGGTATGTGGCCAACGTATCCTGGGAATTTGCTGGTCTGTGAGGCTGTTTGTGCAGGGCGCCATGCCCACATAGCCATCACAGCCAGGCTGGACCCCAGCAGGATCTTGTCAACTTCTCTCGTGAAAGCTTCCACTGTCGTTCAGGCCACATTTGTAATATTGGTTGGATCTAGTTTGAGTGCTTTGTGGCGGTCTCGGTATTTCAAGTATTTCACAGATTCCTTGAAAGGGAGTATGAGGTCCAAGCCGAGATAACACCAGTGCTTTGAGGAGTACGATCATAACCAAGCATATATAGTGTCAGCTAGAAAAAGGATAAGATGGATTACGAGAGCCTTTATATCCAGGGATCCGCTCACAATGGTTGTACTATTCAAATCACTTGTGCTGTCCCGTCTTGAGTACTGCTCCACACTCACTTCAGGGCGGGAGATACTGCTGAAATAGAGGAAATACTGAGTACATATACGACACGCATACATACGATAAAGTGTCTAAATCATTGGCATTGTCATAAAGCTCTCAAAATCTTCTCTCTGGAGAGGAGACGAGAGAGGTATCAAATATATGCATGGAAAGTACTAGAGGGCCAGGGCCCAAATTTACATAGTAAAATAACATACTGGAGTGAACGATATGGAAGAAAATGCAGAATACTGAAGTGCCAGAGAAGAGTAGAGGTGCCATAGACACAATTATGGAACACTGAACATCAGAGGTCCACGGTTGTTCAACATCCTCCCAGCGAGTATAAGAAATATTGCCGGAACAAAAATGGAAGTCTTCAAGAAAAAACTACAGTTTCCTTCAATATGTCCCTGACCAACCGGTCTGTGGTGGATATGTGGGCCTGCGGGCCGCTCCAAGCAACAGCCTGGTGGACCAAACTCTCACAAGTCAAGCCTGACCTCGGCCCGGACTTGGAGAGAGTAGAAGAACTCCCAGAACCCCAACAAGCAGGTACAATCCAGGCACATTATCGGTGTTGGGCTGGTTGCTCTTTAAGATTCAACTACTCGGAACACAAAAGTGCCAAGCAGCACGGGCTATGGTGAGCCCTTATAGTGGGTGTGTTGGGCCCTCCCCTGGTTAGGAGAGCTCTCATTATCTACCCTATCATTTTCCTGGCTGTTGTTCTGTTCGCTGTGCTCTCTAACATTTGGTCTTCTGACGTTATAATTCCAAGCTGTTTGACTTAGTCGCCTTCGTGATGAGAAGATTGGTAGGTGCAACTTGAGGTCACATGTTTCCAGTTTGTCTATGCCGCAGTGGAGGGGGGATTTGTTGCCGTTGAACCTCACAACACTATTGTCTGTTGTGGTGATTAAAGCCACACAAACACTACACAAATGTTCTTCTCCAGTTGATTTACTCACCCACGATAATGGTAATTTGTTCTGAGGCAAAAGTTTCTTCTGCAGTGAAGGCATTCATGAGATAATGGAAGACTGTAGTCGTAGCCTGGTCCAGTGCGCGGCTTGTGGTGGATGGGAGAGACAGACAGACAGACAGAGACACAGATAGACAGAGACACAGATAGACAGACACAGACACACAGATAGACAGAGACAGATAGACAGAGACACAGACGGACAGAGACATAGATAGACAGAGACACAGATAGACAGACACAGACAGAGACACTGATAGACTGATAGACAGATAGACAGAGACACAGATAGACAGACACAGACACACAGATAGACAGAGACAGATAGACAGAGACACAGACGGACAGAGACATAGATAGACAGAGACACAGATAGACAGAGACACAGATAGACAGACACAGACAGAGACACTGATAGACTGATAGACAGATAGACAGAGACACAGATAGACAGACACAGACAGAGACACTGATAGACAGACAGACAGACAGACAGATAGAGACACAGAGACAGACAGACAGACAGAGACACAGAGACAGACAGACAGACAGAGACACAGAGACAGACAGACAGACAGAGACACAGAGACAGACAGACAGACAGAGACACAGAGACAGACAGACAGTCAGAGACACAGACAGACACGGTCCCGTGGTCTAATGGAACGCGTCTTTGGCTTTCAGCCGCGAGACCCGGGTTTGATACCCCGGCCAGGACGGAAACAGTTTAGTGGAGTTTCCTTTCACCTCATGCCTGTGTTCACCTAGTATAATAGGTCCGTGGGAGGTGGACAGCTGCTGTGGGCTACATCCAGGGGATGGTCAGGAGTTAGCCAAGTAGTTAGATATAGTTAGCCTAGTAGTTAGACACACACACGCACACACACACACACACACACACACACACACACACACACACACACACACACACACACACACACACACACACACACACACACACCTGTTGATTGACGGTTGAGAGGCAGGACCAAAGAGCCAGAGCTCAACCCTCGCAAGCACAACTAGGGAAGGTTCTCAACCTGCTAACAACCATTGGTACTCGCCTACTCTGGTACCCACCTGTTTAAAAGGACGTGCAGGCAGGCAAGCAGGGAGGGAGGAGATACCTTGTTTGCTAACCAAGCTTTCTCTTAAGTTTAGTGACGTCCTCCGCCATCCGTTATGGTAAGATGACAGCTGGTGTCCACTATACGTGTATAGTGCATCTCTGTTATGTTAACTGCAATGGCTTGGATTGCTGTGGAGGTTCGTCGTTGCCAACATGGTCATTGTCAATATGCAAAATTGCATTGTCAAGTTTTTATTACACGAGATTCCTGCATGGCCTTGAGCATTTGCATATGTGTGTGTGTGTGTGTGTGTGTGTGTGTGTGTGTGTGTGTGTGTGTGTGTGTGTGTGTGTGTGTGTGTGTGTGTGTGTGTGTGTGAGAGTGTGTGTGTGTGTGTGTGTGTGTAGCCGAGGAGGCGGTGTGTGTTGTTAGTGAAGGCTTGGGTGTATGTGCAGGGTGTATGTGCAGGGTGTATGTATACTCGCAGTTATTGTATACACAGTGGATTGTGTGTATATATAGGGAAAGGTTTACCTATGACCGTTTCGAGGGTGTTTCTACTGCCGCACTTGTCATGCCTGGCGGTTACCTTTGGGGTGGTTACAGGTATCAATGTCCCCGCGGCTCTGTCCTCCTGCTTGGTGGTTTGTTCAACCAGGCTGTTAGACGCAGCTGCAATCGAATCCAACGGGGATTCGAACCCGGAATATCAGGACTACGAATCCGAAGCGCTGTCCACTCAGCTGTCAGGCCCGTAGGGTTTTGTGTGTGTATATATTGTGTTGTATGTGTGTATTGTGGGCTGTGTTTGTATGTTGTGGATTGTGGATTGATTGTATGTTGTGGATTGATTGTATTCAGTGACGGTTTGCGTGTCCATGGGGTTGTATTTGATGTATTCTTTGTGTGTATACATTACGGAACAAAAATGTGATTTATAATTAACATATGATGTACCTGAGTACAAGAGAAAACCATTTTGGCCCCCCTGGGAAAATAAGGCGTAAAGGCTGGAGTCATGTGTCCATGATTTCCAGGAAATGCCTTCCAGAGATTATGTGACACATTCTTGGACTCCCAGACACCTGGATCAATATGAGGCCAATATTTTTGGGTTAGTGCGGGAGTTATGGTGCAGAAGGGGGTAGGGGAGCTTGACCACAGAGGCAGAGGGAAAGTGAGAGAGAGAGAGAGAGAGAGAGAGAGAGAGAGAGAGAGAGAGAGAGAGAGAGGGATCTGGAATGCTTGGGGTCATTAGGACACCACCGGGAATCCCACATAATAATAATAATAATAATAATAATAATAATAATAATAATAATAATAA